CGTCATTTGTCCACTGCGATTATATATTGTGGTGCAGATTCAAATGTTGATGAAAAGACATCTGCATGACTTTATTGACGTTTCTATTGCATGGCAGTGTGGCTGGTAGGAGATGTGAGCACTGTGTTGTGTTGTGCTATGCTGTGCTGTGCAATATGCTGTGTTGTGTTAATGTAGCATGGTTCCAAACGTCATGCATGTAGTGAATATGGAGTATTCCATCTTTCTATTTCAAATCATCAAAATTTAGAAAGACTGGAAACGAAATTGATTGTAGTGGTGGTCGAAAAATTCTTTTCAAACGCGCAAAATCGTTTTCAAGAGTAACTTCAACATTCGTTATTTTAATGATCTCACTTTCTGCCTAAGAACAAAAAAATCACCACTCGCTCAAAAACTTTCGTTGGAAATAATTTGCACCACTCAAAATAATTTAATTTTTATCACTCGGCCAGAGAGAGAGAGATAAAGAGAGCAACACGATATGACAACATGCAACGACTACATTGACGTGACCTGATGGATAACTCGGAATTCAATTAAAACATTCTCCTTCTGCAATTCATGACAACTCAGTCATTTATCAGGCAGCAACTAACTCTCTTACAATTTATCTGGAGTGTGGCATAAACATACAAACTATCTTGACTTTTGCTCGCGTCAGTGCCTCTCAATTCCACCGGGCCGCACAGTCCTTCAATAACTCTGCTATTAAAAGATAATGGCCCGTAAAGACTCATCAAATTATTTTCAATGAAATTAACTCGGAGTTTTTATTCTAACTTTTTTAATTAAGCCAATTCTGTAAAAATAAAATTAGAAAAAATAATCAAATGGATTTAATAAAAAAAGAAACTTAAGAAGAGTTTGCAACACGGCGTTGTTTCGTTACATGGTCGTCGTGCATTTGTCCGCAACAGCACGTATCTCGCTTGCCAGGCAGCATTCATTTGAACAAACAAACAGACAGACAGACAAACAAACAAACCCACGAATCAACAAACACGTATTTATTTTTGAATTTATTTATTTGTTCATGTCCACACATCTTGCATGCACGCTCAATTTTCAAGTAGGCTGTTCCGTCTTAATACAACATTTGTTTTTTAAAATTTTTCTGAAAAAAATTTTTTGTATCCATCTTTAAAATTATTCAGCTACAACAATAAATTGTATACACCAAATAAATATTCATCGCAACATCAAAACATAAATTATCGTTCATGGAAAACATTCAGGAATTGCTACAAAATTCTTTGAAAGGAAGGTTCAATTTTTATTGTCGGATCATTTCCATTCGTGATTTTCAGCCCGGTGCTTTTTACGGTAATAAAATATATAGACTGACAATGGAGGTTATTTGTAGGTTTGAGAATCAATAGAGATGGTAGATGAAATTGTGAGTGCCTCACGTTGCTTTATGGCATGTGGTCAGTGCAGCATTATAAACCATTTCAGGATGTCAGCGTGCCATCACACTTCATTCAACGTCAACAATGCACAGACGCAAAAAGTGTAAAATATGTGTGCAACAAAGTTAATTGCCGACTTTATATCTAACACACATTGGAAAGCATGGTGAAAGAAATAAACAAATCGAAAGCGCTCGACCGTAGTAGTAGACCATGCTATGTTTATGCCTTTTGATTTAACATTAGAATGAGAAAATTAAGGCCGAACCGCTTGCAAGCCGTTTACTGTTGCGTTGAATTAATTTGCATCACGTATGTAACTCCGCATGTACCTCGGCTATGTGAATTGCATAGAAAATAATTTTACTGATGTTTATAATGTAATTTTGTTTACTGAGATCAGTGAAACTTTTCAAATACTGTATGTGATGGCGGTTAAACCATAGAAGAAAGGAACAATCACATTTCTTGTGAAAATCAACTTTGAAGTTAACATTTTTCAAAAGTCAACTATAATTTACAAATTTCTTGTAATTGTAAACTTTGATAATCTAATTTTTTGAAAAATGTAACACCAACAATCTATCTTAATAAAAATCTTTGTCAGAAAATATTTTAACATCATTCAAGTAATTGTCTTGAAAGTAAATTAACAGCACCATAAAACAGCAAACATTGCAGACAACAAGTTGCACGAAACATTAAAAGTAGCAAATAATACCAAATCTGGTAACAGAAAACGAATGATAGATAGGTTGATGCAAAGAGTGCTACCTTAATGTAACTACATGCATTAAATAACGTTTATATAACGCACGACATGTAAATGTCATTTAATGTATTGAAGTCATTTTCACATGAAAGAATCTTGAAATTTAAAATTTAACATGGTACTACTGCAGAGTCAGTGAATGAATATCAGCTGTTGGTTTGATGAGTGAAAAGAAGTAGTGAATGAATGGTTGAATCTGAAGAAACAATACAACAAACGCTACAACAAACAGCTACACAAACACACAACAACACACAAACACTACTACGACAAACAACCACACAACAAACACTACAACACAACAAACAACGGTTTGCGTAGAGTAAATAAAATAAACTTCATTATTTCATAATTTGTATACCATTCTTTCCTTTAAACGTTTTTCCATAAAATCCTGCGTGAATTATTCACTGAGAATGACGCAATTATTTTACGCGCCTCTGCACAAAATTACATCTTTCTAAATCCACGCCATTGAAAATTACTCTAATGAAATTTAATTGAAAATTTATTTCATTTGGAAAATTCGTTCCTAAACTTAAAATATAACTTGGCCAAAGTAATATAACATAAACGATCATATTCATAATATTATTATTTAAATTATTTTTTTATATTTATAAACTATCTGTCTTGTTTGAGTTGTTGTTGTTGTTGTTACTCGTTGACAAAGACAAATGAAACAAACAAATAAATAAAGAAAGAACAAACAGAAGTGAATCGTAAAGTCACACGTCAAATTTGACGTTAAAAATAATTCCCCAACATAAATAATGAAAACTATAATAATATTATTAATAATAACATTAATAATGATAATAAAATAAATAATAATATTCATGATGAAAATAATAACAATAAATATGATGATGATATAAAAATAATTGATCAATTAATCGATTGATTGATTGATCAATAAAAAAGAAAAAACGTTAAAATCTAGCTATCTGTCAATCAAGTTTTAATAAACCAATGGTCAACTATTAATTATTTTACAAGCATTTATATCCATTTGATTCAACTTTACAGTTTCATTGCTTTCAATTTCAACGAGCCGCTTTTTCTTTAAATGTTTGGGTAAAACATTTTACGATTAATGTTGATTCTTTGTTTTTGGGCAATACCTAGGTTGCTTATATTTAAAGACTTTGTGCTACATTGTGTTTGTAAAATTAAGGTATTTAAGAAATGAGATCTTCCATTCAAGCAAATACTTTACTTCTCATCTTTTTATCTTAAATTTACACTTTGAGTGATAAATGAGTGATATGGATGTTGAAAACCAAATAAAGGTTTATGTCATGAAATATTTGAAAAATTTTATACGTCAGAATAAGTTAAAACAAGTTTCCATGTACGAAGAAATATTGAAAAACTATCAGGAACTACAAAGTTTTTCAGCCGATGATGTAAAAGAATTTGCAATGTACCTTACTATAAGATCGAGTGAAGTTGAAGTAGAATCCGATTGGATGGTTAAGTTTCGGGCATTGACTAACGGCCAGCAGTTTGACATAGTAAAAGATTTATATGAGAAATATTTGTTAAGGGCATCAAGTCTCGAGGACAATCGCGAGATGCGTACTCATAGAGATGACACTTTCAGGGCTATTATTCATCATCGTGACCAATTTCTTCCAGCAGATTTACACAATCCAACATATAAACTGCCATTTTTTGCAGGAAAATTCACAAACGATGAATGCATTATATGCCTTGAAAGTTTTCGAGAAAACTCCTTCGTGACTCAATTGAACTGTCGTCATACTTTTCACTGCAGATGTATAATTAAATGGTGTGAAAGAAAGTCGTCCTGTCCAACATGCAGGTCTGCAATTACATTCTACGTTAAACATGAGCATACTTTTAAACTTGAAGTGGAAGACAGCAAAACATACGCCATCATTCAACTGCTGACTAAAGAATGGAAGGATTAGGCTTTACAACTACAAAGCAATCTTTTATTAAACGTAGACTCTGCTATTAAGATATCCATTATAAATATAACTTCACAGATCTATTGAGTTTGAGGTGTTTTACTTTTAAAAAAAGTTTATTTCTAATTTTAAAGAAACATTTTCCTACGTTTTTGTTGAAAAATATGAATGTTCTATTCTATACTTTCGGGTAAATAAGGAAAAATAGTATAGCTAAAAATAACTGTTTGAATGTATATATGGTGTTTAATAATAATAATACTATAAACTTTATTTTAATATTAAATGCGACTAAATGTCTAAAGTGTTAAAAAATTTATTAAAATCAGTCGCCACTCCTGGTGCTGTACAAAAGCAACTTTAACAATAATAACAATATTGTTTTTATTATTAATCTTAATATTATTAATATGTATTGCAAAAATTTTTTATAGTATTTAAAAGTTATTTATTAACAATGCTTGCACGTTTGTGACCAGCCATATGCACTCCCACAATAGGAGTTTAAAAAATTGAAATAAGCCAAATATTGTACAAGCGTTTATGTACGAAGAAATATTGAAAAACTACGTGGAATTGCAAACTTTTTCTGCCAATGATACAAAAGAATTTGCAAGATACCTTACCCAAATAAGATCGAATGAAATTAAAGAAGGATCTGCGTGGTTGGATAAGTTTCGGGCATTGACTAACGGCCAGCAGTTTGACATAGTAAAAGATTTATATGAGAAATATTTGTTAAGGGCATCAATTCTAAAGGACGATCGCGAGATGCGTACGCATAGAGATGACACTTTTAGAACTATTATTCATCATCGTGACCAATTTCTTCCAGCAATTTTACACAATCCGACATATAAACTGCCATTTTTTGCGGGTAAATCCACAAACGAAGAATGCAATATATGCCTTGAAAGTTTTCGAGAAAACTCCTTCGTGACTCAATTGAACTGTCGTCATAATTTTCACTGCAGATGTATTATCAAATGGAGTGAAAGAAAGTCGTCCTGTCCAACATGCAGGTCTGCTATATCAATCAACGTGAAACAAGAGCATACTTTTAAACTTGAAATGATAGGTAATGAAAGATACGTTTTCATTCAACTATTGACTAAAGTATAGAAGTTTTAAGTTTTCTAAATGAAAATACTGTTAAATAAGTTTTCTAAATGAAAATACTGTTAAATACCGCTTTCGACATTAACAATCAATCGCTTTCTGATATCAAATATTCAATAACAATCACTCAATAGCTCGCACGTCTTTATATACCCGTTTTACCGACGCTACTCGAACGTCCTAGATATCTCGCTGTCAGAAGGTTCTTGTTCCTCCTCGAACTGTATGCGTTCTTAGCTACACTGGGGCCTCTAGCAAATATATTTGTGACGGTTATAACAATGCTGTTTAATACAAATTGTTTTAAAGTATTCAAAAGTTATTTACAATGTTTAATAATAATTGTTTTAATGTATTCAAAAGTTATCTACAATGTTTAATAATAATAAAACTTTAACCTTTAGTAAATGTTACTAAATGTATTATTCTTTTAAAAAGTTTATTAAAATCTATAGCCACACCCGCTGCTGTACAAAATCAACAATAACAATAATGATAATAATAATAATAAAAAGAAGAATATAAATGCTTAATGTTCAGTAAATAATTTATTTTAAATTTATTTCAATGTTTGTACGTTTGTGAACATGCATTCCCACCATATCACGAAAATTCATACAGTGATTGATGTTGTAAGGTTTTCCATAGATTCATTCTGAAATGGTATGAAAAATTAGGATGGATTTGCAATGATGGCTGATATACGAAGCAACTCACATGTTGTGTCTGAGTGATGCATGCTCTGTTCTGCTCCTTCATTCCACACATGACACGTGCATGTTATGACACAAAATGTAATTAATTGGAAATGTCGCAGAGAGGATCTTGAGGGAAAACGGATGATAACGAAAGCCCGCTGCTCCAAATTTTGTCTATTTTTGTTGTATGCTATTAAAATGTTTTTTGCTGAGAGAGTTTGTGCGAGTGTGAGTCTGATTCTTATTTAAAAAACGCCTAAAATCATTTTTAATTTGCTCTAAGACTACAATGCTCTTTATAACACAATGTATAACACACCATTAGCAAAAACATCTAATTTATATTTGCGTCGAAATTGTAACCTAATGATAATGATATTTACCGCAACTCAGTTGGTAAAAATAGATTTAGGGATGGGTTGTCATGTTAGTACCAGGAAAAAAAAATAAAAAAGTCCCTTGAAGTTAGATCAAAAGAGTAAGAAAGAAGTTTTAGTTAATGGACAATTGTGTTGGCAACTCGTATTTGTTATAAATATTTGAGTCCTCTATGCGAACAACAAAGAATTTTTGAATTTTATTGTAGTTTAATGAGCTGTACGACGATAAGACACACTTTGTAAAAAATTTGAAAAGTTTCCATTATAAATAAAAATACAGAAGAGATTTTTGAAACGTGTTAAATTATTTGTTGGAAGAAGTTAATAAAATATGACGCGGGAAGACTGCGACCACAGCGCATAGTGCAGTTTCCTTTTAGACTCCATTTTAAAATGCACATATGTGCCTACAATGAAACGATGTAATAAAATGAACGGAACGTTGTATATACACATACATATGAATATACACATATACGTTTGTATACAAGAATACAATACGTGCCGATGTGGTTAGTTGCCGGCACAAATGCAATTACATTACGTGAAGGGTTTAGATGGGGACATCTTGTGGCCACCTTGCATTGTCGCAACTGCCTTCAAATTACATTTTGGGTAGTTTTGGTGTATTTTTATTGATTTTGTGCGTGACAAGTTGTTTTATAAATTTTGAATCAAAACGTCAAACGACAGACAAACTGTAATTGGCGTTATGAATTGTCAAACACGGATCCTGGTGATGGTGCATGATTGGAAGGGCGGTGCATGATTGGAAGGGCGGTGCATGATTGGAAGGGTGGTGCATGATTTAAATTAGCGCGTTCAATAGTACCTACATATAAACATACATTTATACATATACATACGGATATATTTACTTACATACGGACATGAATATATGCAAGCAAGCAAACATACACACACACATACATCGTTGTGTGTGGGAGATGCATTGCATACATGCATGCATAAATGCACACCAGAACATACGCACGTGGCTTTACATCAGAGAAAGCAAATAAGCATTATAAAGTATGAGAGAAGGACTCAATTCACATTTGAAATAATAATAGGCTGACCCGTGAGGACAGGACTTGCCAATGTGTACGTTCGATTGCAACGATGCAAATATCTCATGCCGAGGCAAGTTTCTTTTTATGGGGGCCATCCTCGCAAATCATCAGCACTCCCTCCATGATGACGATTTCCTTATTTTTTACACCATCGTATTTCTCTTCATAACTTTTTAATACGTTTACTTTAGTCATTTTTTTTGTTATGTTTGCAGCTCGTAGCACGTACGAATAGCTGGAATGAATGACTCAACGATTTTTGTGAAAAAAGAAATATAATGTTTTGTGCTAAAATTATTTTCATGCTGCATTGCAGAAATTTAAAACTCTCAACAAAAACAAGCCATCAGTCAATAATTTTATTTTTTGACGCTAAGCCGTGCAATCTCCTCAAAAGAACATCCATGCAGTTTTTGAACGCTGCTCATTTCAATTTCACAAGTTGAGTCGGAAACATAACATACAGGTGATACATTCTCCGGCAAATGCATACTCTGCTATTGTACATCATGTGCTTCACTGGCACTTAAGTTAGACTAATGTAGAAGATTTCTATATTTTTTTATATTTTTAAAAATGTATTTCTGACTATCCAAATCAATCTGAAGACATAAAATGCCAGGTGCACGCAATGAAGTTTGTTGCTTGAAAACTTGAAAGCACCCCATTGTGAGAATCTTGTTCTGTCCTGTGTAATTCAATTATTGCTGACATGTATATTTAGTCTCAGTTTATTGAATGTTTTCTTCCCATCCTATTTTTTCTTTATAATGTTGATGATTCTTTTTTAAATGCATATAATTTCAAAAACGTTTAAACAATTTTAACTTTAATTTGGAGAATATATTTAGGTGCAGAAATGTATAAACAAATAACAATATTAATTTCCGATTAATCACCGACTATATAAATGCTTTTTTCAAGCTAATTTTTTGAGTGAAATTGGTTACAATCATTTTTTCATACTTTAAAATTAATCTGCCATCACGAGCACAACCTATTTTTTTCAATGTAGTCACCTCCGGAGTTTAATATCCTGGTAAAATCTTCCACCCTACTCTTCACACAGGTTGTTTGAATTTGTAGGAGAAGATTTTGAATATTTTCGAAATTCATCTTCAACTTTGATAGTTTAAATTGCTCTTTCCGGTACGTAATGTAGTGTTATCCGACATTTTTATTGAATTCGTCGTTCCTACCTAATTATATTCCGTTCTGTCCTTCAACACTTTTACCAGGCTTTTTTATCTTACTACGCATTCTAAATTTTAAATTTGCCATCTCTTTAAACATTCCATTTAACAGTACTGCTAGACAACATCTTTCATATTTTTTTAAAAATGTAAATTTTCAATCCCAAATGGAGTGAATGTGAAAACTGTTCGCATCTGACGGGCTGCTAATGTGAGTTGCAGTCCTAACAAAACTCGATCACTTATTGTAAATGAATTTTTGCAACCTTTCATATCATGGAGTCCGTAAGGGGTTTTTTAATCAATTTCAGCAGTGCTGTAATGAACACTGACGTTCCATTAAAGTTGTTTTTAAGTTCCGCAAAAATGTTTCTTCAGCTATGAATAAATACACAAAAATCAAATTGAAGCAGCAATTTAAAACACTTCCCATGCAGTTTTAAACTTTTGTGTGGTTATAATTTTAATTAGTAATTTCAAGATTTTTATTAATATGTTTTATTTTTTTAAACAAAACAATTTTAAAAGTAGTTAAGTTAGTTTTCTTTGGGCAGTGTAGCACACTTGAGATAAAATTTAAACATACAAATTTGTAATAAATCTAGAGCATATTACAAATTTAAAATGTATTTTGATATGTAGGTTAACACAAAATAGTTCATTGACAATCGTTATAAATGGCAATGACGCTGACGATTTTGTTAAACATTTCCAAGAAAATTTCACCTCACGAACGACGCGCGACGTCAGTTTGAAAAGAAGTTTAAACAAACGGCCGCACGGCAAGTGTTCGTCATTCATCAATAGGTGTCAACTTTCTGATGCATATTTTATTTTTTTCTTTGCATATGAAAATTTTCTTATAGTTCATATTTACTCTTCCAACCAACGAACAAAACATTTTTAGTAAGAAAACGAAATAAGAGTTGTTCTAGAAATCAATCTTTACATCTTGTCAAACAAGCCTCGCCAAAACGCGTACCCGCTATCTTATATGCTGTGATGCCGACAATTGAGTATTTGATAAAATTTTTAATGATACTTTAATCATTTACCAATACAATCGAATGTTAAACTTATATTTATTTTTGTTTTCAAATCAATGATTTAGGCTAACACTCCATTCAGAATAATGAAGTTACAATCGTATATCTACACTCCCACAAAACAGAAAACAACATTTATTGAAATGTTGCTAAAAGTAGCTACTTTCAAAAATTAACGTCGAGGTTTGATATCTTTGAACGCCATCCAGGCAGAAGTATATGATTATGTGTAAATCGTTTGAGTGGTTTGAAAACTTTACCGGATGGAAATTAATCGAAACCGAGTAAGAAAGATACATAAGCATGAAGCTTTAAAAGCAAAACCTCATCAGATGAGATATTTCGCAAATAAAAGTATAAAATTAGATGAAGCACTGGTTATTTTTCTATACAAAGAACTAAAAATATTTAAACTGATGCCGCATCAAAATTATTTTGAAAAATAAATTCAATATTAAGTTGTTGAAAAAATATAAATTTAAAACAGCAACTAGTAGAATTTTATTTATTTCATTTTCTTTGCCAA